GACATTGTCGTGTAGTGGAACAAGGGCAGTGGGTTCAGTTCCCACGCGAGGTAGAACGTTCATAAGTAGAGCTGCTCCTGTAGTTCCAGGGAGATAATGTGTTTTCGAATCAGTTCTCAAAAGCAAGATGAGCTATGAGAAAGAGCAAGATAGGTAAACGCATTGCAAGCAAATAGAGCAGTGGGTGACGCGCTGCACTCGAAGGGGGATCTATGCGAGGAAGAGGAAGAGCGCGAGGACGAAGGGGATGGAGTGGGCTTTGTTATAGATGACACTTGAGGAAGATTGCATTGATAAGTATGAGCAATTTCATCTGTATTATTCTATCATCCTTTATAAGGTTTTTATGTGTAAATTCGAAAAGGGCAATATGATGTTCAAGAAGTGCTGTCATAAACTTGATCACAAAGGTGAAACCCTAATCCCAATTCTCCTTCTGTGATATGAATTTTTGTGTTGTAGATTGGCTTGCTTTTTAGATTTAAATCTTCAGAAATTTCCTCCTCGCGGTGCTGATGATACATCTTAATCTCAATATCCCTCTATTTTATTTTTATTTTTTAATTTTTTAATTGCTTCTCTGAATGATTGATCTTTTTTAGGCACTAATCTTTTTTATTTTCATTTGGTGTAGATTATCAATTTCAATCATTAATTTGTCTCTTTGATGCACAAATTATCTACAATTTCAATATTTCATACTGTTTGCTCATGCATGCCTAACTCCTCTTTTTTTTTCACTTTTTTTATCTAAATGAATTTGCAGGCTTCTTTCTTCAAATAATTTCATAGGGACAATACCAGAAGCATATGGAAAACTAAAGAATCTCGCTTAGTTGTGAGTGACATGATGTGATACAATTTCTTTTCCTTATTTTATGTCTTTGTTGAATTGTGAAATAACACAACATTTTCTGCAATAGGATAGATGGGAGCAGTTTATCTGGGAAGATACCTAGTTTTATTGGGAATTGGACCAAACTTGATAGATTGTGAGTCCCAATCTTGATTCATCCATAACATCTTCTATGTTGAAGAATGAAATAATATTATACTATCATATCATGCTTAACTTGCTTTGTATTATCTGAGAAAATATTCTTTTGGTAGGGATTTGCGGGGCACATCCTTGGAAGGCCCAATTCCTTCTATCATATCCGACTTGACAAGTTTGACAGAATTGTGAGTAATTTCTCCTTTTAAGGAATTCCAAATTATTACATTTTGTCTGCATTTTAGGAATGCAATTTTCAATCAAGTTTTGCTAAAGGATAAAGCTGCAAAAGCTTAAGTTTTAAGAATTATTGGAAACTTGAAATTACCTCTCCTTACATTGTAATTGTATTGTTAGAATTTTCCTATGGCACGTGCTATTACTTCATCATAGTAATCATCTCTTTTATCCTTTCAGAGATTTGAGCTCCAACAGGCTGACTGGTCCGATCCCAAATTCATTTCAAGACTTGGAAAAATTGAATTACTTGTAAGTGAACATTTTTATTCTACTTCCTACTAATAATTTGATCTCAAGAATGCTGGTTACTTTTTCTTAATTAATTTTCCTCAGTGATATAATGAGACATATGTCCATGATGGATGCAACTTTCTGACTAACAATTCTCTAAGCGGACGAATTCCTAATTGGATATATAATGAACTTAAAACAGAATGTGTAAGCATATTTCCTTGTATTTTGATGGAATAACACTAAGGCCAAGAAGTCCAAGAGGTGATGTATTGAAGGAAGCAAAAGGAATGGGTTAGTGTTGAAAACCCATAGGAGGAGTGAGGCCACTTTTGGACCTTAGCTCCTAAGCTTTTATTAGCATAACATTTATTTTTATTCCTATTTTTGCCCTTGTCTTTGATTTTCCATTTTTACCCTTGTATTTTGGGGTATCTTAGACATAGTATCTATTTTACTAGTATTTCCAATTTTACCCTTATATTTTGGGGTATTTTAGTCATAGGATTTATTTTCTTTTGTATTTCCCATTTTACCCTTGTATTATGGGGTGCTTTAGATCATAGGATTTTATTTTTGGGCTAAGGTATTTGATTAGGGTGGGAACCAAACCTAGACATATTTTTGTTGCTCTTGGACCTATTTTTGGTGTTAGAAAGGCTTAGGCCCAAGTGGAGGGCAAAGGTTGCATGGTCTTATCATGCACCTAGATGTAGCCAAACTAATCCCAAAGATTCCATCCTTGGCCACCAAGTTGCATCTAGGGTTCATTTGCATTTCATTTGGTGTGCATTTGGCTTGTGAATTTCGTCCATGCACTCTCCAAATGCAACCCTAGATGTCTCCCACTCCTATAAATACCCTAGGCTATGCATCATGTAAATACTTTGGA